CACTAAGATCAAGTTAGAAGAAAAGCTGGGCTGAGGGAAGAAGCCTGTGTTTGAATAGAAATAGCCTGGAAATTAGCACACGTAGTAAGAGGAGTTATGAAAGACAAGGGGAATGTAACTGGATTTATGTTTACAGCCGATATTTGAGCCTCTCTCTGGTATGAAAGACCCTCTTTATTAAAAACTGCCATTCACCTCTGATTTCACCAAAATGGTAGAGGGAGGTTTGGAGAGGGATTTACTATATTAAATGATGTCTTCAGAAAGAGAAACAAGTTTTGCTGGGTATTTTTACGAGAACTAGATCAGAGAGTCAAGGAAAAAGAATCCAGGCAGAACATACCAGTATAGGCAGGTCTCTAAGTAAACTGAAAGTACCTGACTGCAGGCTTGCAGTAAATCTGAAAATGGTGGAGAATTTTTTAAATTTATTTATTTATTTATTTTTAATGGATTAGAGCAGGGATCGGCAACCTTTGGCACACGGCCCACCAGAGTAAGCACCCTGGCGGGGCGGGCCAGTTTGTTTACCTGCTGCGTCTGCAGGTTCGGCCGATCGCAGCTCCCACTGGCCGCGGTTCGCCGCTCCAAGCCAATGGGGGCTGCGGGAAGTGGCGGCCAGCACATCCCTCGGCCTGTGCCGCTTACCGCCGCCCTCATTGGCCTGCTTACCCTGGCGGGCCGCGTGCCAAAGGTTGCCGATTCCTGGTCTAACCTGTTCTTAAAAACCTTCAAAATGGGGATTCTACAATCTCCCTTGCAAGCTTAACTATCCTTATCATTAGAAAGTTTTTTCCTAATATCTAACGTAAATCTCTTTTTCTGAAGATTAAGCCCATTACTTCTTGTCCTCTCTTCAGTGGACATGGAGAACAATTGATCATCATCCTCTTTATAACAGCTCTTAATGTATTTGAAGTCTTAGCAGGTCCCACAGTCTTCTTTTCTCAAGACTAAATATGTCCAGTTTTTTTAACCTTTCCTCACAGGTCAAGTTTTCTAAACCTTTTATTATTTTTGTTGCATTCTTCTGGACTCTTAAATTCATTCATGTCTTTCTTGAAGTGTGGTTTCCAGAACTGGACACAGTACTCCAGCAGAGGCCTCACCAGTATCAAGCAGGACAGGACAATTAGCTCACGTCTTACATACACCACTCTTGTTAATACACCCCAGAATGATATTAGCCTTTTTTGCAACTGCATCACATTGTTGACTCATATTCACTTTGTGTCTGCTATAAGCCCCAGATTCTTTTCTTCAGAACTGCTACCTAGCCAGTTTTTCCCCATTTTGTAGTTCTGCATTTGATTTTTTTCTACTTAAGTGTAATACTTTGCACTTATCTTTATTGAATTTCATCTTGTGGATTTCAGACCAATTCTGCAACTTGTCAAGGTCGTTTTGAATTCTAATCCTGTCCTCCAAAGTACTTCCAACCCCTCCCAGCTTGGTGTTATCACAAATTTTATAAGCATACTCTCCACTCATTATCTGACATTAATGACAATATTGAGTAGTAACAGACCCTGCAGAACTCCACTAAATATACCCTCTGATTTGACAGCAAACCATTGATTACTACTCCAAGTATAGTCTTTCAACTAGTTTTGAGCCCACCTTATAGTAATTTCACCTAGATCGCATTTCCCTAGTTTGCTTGTGAGATTGTCATGTGGGACTGTGTCAAAAGCCTTATTAAAAATCAAGATATGTAACATTTACAGCTTCCCCCCATCCACAAGACCAGTAACCCTGTCAAAGAAGGAAATTAGGTTGGTTTGGCATGATTTTTTCTGGACAAATTCATGTTGGCTATTACTTTAACCCAGGGGTTCTCAAACTGGGGGTTGGGACCCCTTAGAGGGTCATGAGGTTCTTACACAGGAGATCAGAAGCTGTCAGGCTCAACCCCAAACCCGATCTTGCCTCCAGCATTTATTATGGTGTTAAATATATAAAGGAGAGGGTCACACTCAGAGGCTTGCTATGTGAAAGGGGTCACCAATACAAAAGTTTGAGAACCTCTGCTATAACTTCTTATCCTCTAGGTGCTTACAAATTGATTGATTATTTGTTCCAGGTGTTGACATTAGGCTGACTGGTTTTTTCCCCCTGCCTTTTTAAAGACAGGTACTATGTTTGCCCTTCTCCAGTCCTCTTAGGACCTCACCCGTGCTCCATGTTTTCTTAAAGAGTATCACTAACAGTTCCAAGATGGTTTCAGCTAGTTCCTCAAGTACCTTAGGATTTATTTCATCAGGTCCTGCCGACATGAATACATCTGACTTGTCTAAATAGACTTTAATCCATTTTTTCCCTATTTTGGCTTGTGTTCCTTCCCCTTTGTTGTTAAGTTAAGTATCTGGTCACAATTTACCATTTTAGTGAAAGAAACATTTTCATTACTAGTAATCATTGGAAATCAGAAAGTATAAGTTTTTTTATAAGGCAAATTCTATGGAATTTTTTTGAGGAGAGGAAGTTAGCAATTAAAAAAATAGGTTTTGCTTGTGTGGGGTTTTTTTTTAAACTTACTTATGACTACTTAAACATTGATTCCATGGATTTTTAATGGGAAAGCAGGTTCTTTCAGTCCTCCTAATTACTATTAATTTTGGTATACTCTCCTTGACAAACAAGAACAACCAAGATATATAATTTTTAAAAGAAATGATAACACTAACAAACGTATGCTAAACTTTATTGCTCAGTTACCTTGATTTTGGATATTCCTGATTCCATATCCTTTGCTTGTATGTTGTCAGTATGCTATCTGTATTAATTTAATACTCTTTTGTACAACTAGCACTCTTTCTGCACTGTGCAAATAATGTTTTGCCTCAATTTAAATCACTAGTTCCAGTTTATCTTTAAAACGGCAACCTCCAAAACCAGAAGACAGCACCATTCACTGAAGGGAGAGGAGGAAGTGGTTTCCGGTATTTCTATAAACCTCTTGTGAAAATACTTTTAATACAACATTCTTGTTTAGTAAATATTTAGTTAACTATAGGATGAAGAAGTCATCAGGAGTCTTCCTGCTAGAATGGACTAGGGTTGTCTTTGGCTTTTAAAAAATGGAGTGCCTCTATAGTCTTCTACCAGCCAGCTGGGAACTCTTTCTTCTCTGACACCTTATTTTCCAGCCTCTGACCTTATCCACCCCAAGTACCACTGTGTTTCTCTTTGACTTTTCACTTTTGTATAGCATAGCAAGATTCTCCCCAGCAATCATCAACATTAAGGGAACCCACAAAGGAAAAAAAATGGGCTTTTGTCCTTCTCTGCATCTTTATGATTGATCAGTTAAGGCAGGGGTGGGCAAACTACGGCCCGCGGACCAGATCCGGCCCCTCAGGGCTTTGGATCCAGCCCGTGGCGCTGCCAACACCACATCCCTGCGGCCCCCAGGTGGGGGGGGGGGCACAGGGCTCCGTGCGTTGCGGGGGGCAGTGCCTGGAGGCAAGAGTAGCTCCCATTGGCCGGGAACAGGGAACCGCGGCCAATGGGAGCTTTGGGGGAGGTACCTGGAGGAGCGGCAAGGGCCACGCGCGCCGCGCCCCCCCCCCCCCCCCCCCCCCCCCCAGGGGCCGCAGCGCTTCCTGGAGCAGCACGGGCCACGTAGGGTGACCAGACAGCAAATGTGAAAAATCGGGTCAGGGGGTGGGGTGGTAATAGGAGCCTATATAAAAAAAAGACCCAAAAATCGGGACTGTCCATATAAAATTGGGACATCTGGTCACCCTAGGCCGGGGACGCCGCTGCCACCCTGGAGCCGCTATAGGTAAGTGGTGCCGGGCCGGAGCTCGAACCCCTCCTGCACCCCACCCCCCAACTCCCTGCCCTAAGCCCCCTGCCTGCACCTCGCATCCCAACTCCCTGCCCTGAGCCCCCTCATACATCCCACACCCCTCCTGCACCCAACCCCCTGCCCTGAGCTCCCTGCTGCACCCCTGTGCACCCCAACCCCTTGCCCCACCCTGCATCTCAACCCCTGCCCTGAGCCCCCTCCCGCAGTCCACACCCCTCCTGTACTCCGCACCCCAACACCCTTCCCTGAGCCCTCTCATACACCCTGCACCCCTCCTCTGCCCCAATCCCTTGCCCTGAGCCCCTTCCTGAACACCGCACCCCCTCCCACACCCCACGCTCCCTCCCGTACCCCAACCCTGCATACTATTTCCCCACCCAGATGTGGCCCTCAGCCCAAAAAGTTTGCGCACCCCTGAGTTAAGGTGAAAATTAACAAGAAATGTCTGCACTTCCAAGAAGACAAAACCAGAGAAGACCAGACTTGACATTCTTGATATTTGTGAGTGGGAAAATAAGAAGAAAATTATTTTAAAAACATACATCTTTCTGGATTTATTTATGTATCATAAAAGGAGGGCAAAAAAGGACACAAATCTAATTAAAAAACATTGTCTGCAGGTCACCTTCAACAAGCTGTTTGATGGAAGGAACAAAGAATAAGGTGCAGGAATGCTTGGAGAAGACAGCAAAATTAAATGCATAATAGTTTTAATTTTTGGCAAGCAGGGGACAAAAGTAAACGGTATAAATAGTGCTAGATAATCTCTGCCTTTTGTAACAATAAGACACCTGTTTCTTAAGAAATGTACATTTAGTTTAGATCATAGAAACTGGTACAATGTCTCCCCAAATGCTGCTGAAAAGACTTACGTTCCAGACACCAAAATACAAGGACAGAAGAAGAAGAAGAAAAGCCACGCAGTGTTTTGCTTTCTAAAGGGTGGGGAGAGCAGTGTCAAGTGTCTAGAAGTCAGAGCTATTTTTACCTGTCAGCTCTGAAAGTTCCTCCCCCCCGGAATAAGCTGTAGAAACAACTGGTTTGCTAGCCAAAGCAACACCGAACTGCATGCAGATGTGGTGCAGGAGGCCAGCTGCCCTTGCCCGCTGCGCAGGAGGGAGGGGGAGGGGAAGGGGAAGCGTGCGGGAGGGCTGGGGAAGGCAGAGCGAGGGCGGGGGTGTCTCACTCTCTGAGTCGCTCATGCCGCTGCTGTCGCTGACGCTGGCGCTGCTCCGCCGTTTCATCCGCGCCAGGTGCTCCTCGTACTGGAAGTGGCGCTTGCTGACGGGCGAGGAGAAGTCTTCTATCACGGCATCGAACTCGCCCAGCACCTCCGCCAGCTCCCCGGCATCCGCCCGCAGGGCGACAGGGCCCGGGGCCGGCCGGGACGGGAGAGGACGAGGGAGACAGTCACCGGAGCCTAACGAGAAACACGGACACCCTTAAAATACCCCCGACCCTCGGAGAGCAGGGCTGGAGCACAAGAGTGAGACCGAGCCACCACCTCAGCGCCACCCCCACGTCCCTCCAGAGAGGGACCGGCCCCCCCCCCCCAGCGACCCCCCCCCCGTCCCTCCAGAGAGGGACCGGCCACCCCCCCCAGCGACACCCCCACGTCCCTCCAGAGAGAGATCGGCCACCCCCCCCAGCGACACCCCCA